AGAAATCGATTTATTTGCATCCGAGGGGCCAGCACGTTTGTGGGCGTGCTCGATTTTTAATTTGGGTAAACCTCGTCCGCGAGTATCTTTTAGCGATGCACAAATATGATGCTCCCTTTGTTACTTTAATTCTATACTGATAGTTTTGGGTAGATCGTCATAGTATGCATGTGTCATAATTTTGCGAGGTATTTTTTTGGCGCACGCGAGAGCAAACTGTCGAAATAAATTTTTATCCTTTTGTCTTTTTCCTGTATAGTATGTTGAAATTCGCAGTTGCATTTTGTCATTGCTTATTGCTAATATCGAAGAAACCTAAATTAATAAATAACGAGAAGTGTGTCTCTAATATATTAAATGAAAATTCGAGTAATTTATTATAATTAATTATATATTTTTTACATAATATATATTAATTATTAATACATTATGTACATAATTTTGCGTTTATTTATTACACTCGGCTCTTATTAACTAATTTTCTACTCGAATTTTTTTAAAAATTAATATTATACTTTCTTTTTTTGTATTATTTTATTATTCATGTGTTAATATTTTATTCAAAAAAGAGAAAAAAAGTCATGCAAGGAACTCTTATTTCGATAAAAGTGTACATAATTTTAAACAAAATTCTATCTCTCGCCGAATGGTTACCTGAGTTGAAAAATAATATTATTCGGAAAAAGCGATATTGATTGGAACCGCAATTTTCATATTTCTTTTATGCCCATTCACAAATATCTGAAAGGAGGCAAATATGTGTCGGTTAACAATATCAGCTCTTTTAATAAACGTTTAATTGCGGAGAGAATGATGAAAGAGCAAGAGAAAATGAATGCTGTGTATTTCGAGGTTTCCCGCGTGCGTTGTTCTTCCGAAGCAACATACAACTGTTACAATTATAATGCTGGCTTTTATTACGAGACGTGGACGAAAAGCAGTTACGATATCTCTTCCTGTATACGGTGACTACGGTGTTGGCGTCATTTCCGGAACGACACTAGACAGTCGAGCGTCGTGTTAACGGGATTGGGTTAATTCGAAGTCGAGATAGTAAACGACAGTTCCCTCGTTTATAAATACGAGTGGACTCCCTGTCCCTCTTTGTCATCGATTTGTCGAGCATGCAAAACGCGACGAGTGCCATTTCGCGTAACGAGATTCACACAAAACAACGCGCCAAAATATCAATCCGGCTTATTAGATATGGCTCGCACGAGACTTAATATTATTACGTCTCGTTACATAATTTTATTATAGCGCAGTTGTACGTTATATACGAGGGTGGAGGGATAAGTTTCCGGCCTGATAAAGAAAAGAACAGTTTTTTGGATTTTTTAAATTTCATTTTTCAACATAATCTCCACAAAGACTAATACATTTTTCATAACGGTGCTCTAATGCAGTGATACCAACTTTATAGTGCGATTCGTCGAGCTCCTCAAAATACCCATTTACAACGTTAACTTCCTCGTAGCTCTTAAATTTTTTTCCACCGAGCCATGTTTTGAAATTAGGGAATAGATGATAGTCGCTGGGTGCTAAATCTGGCAAATGAGACAGTTGGGGAAGCAATTCGAATTTTAATTCGTTGATTTTATCGCTATTTGTAAATGGGTATTTTGAGGAGCTCGACGAATCGCATTATTAAAGTTGGTATCGCATTAGAGCACCGTTATGAAAAATGTATTAGTCTTTGTTTGAGATTATGTTGAAAAATAAAATAAAAAAGAATAAAAAAAAAACTGTTTTTTTTTCTTTATCAGACCGGAAACTTATCACGCCACCCTCGTATACACGCATCATTCGCAACGGACATTGAGCAGTTTGCACCAAAAGCTTCTGTTTCGCATGTATGGAGACTCGTAGATATACACCTTTGTTTAGATTTTCGTTTTTCATCAAGCTTTATAAAGTTTACGTTAAATAATGTCATGAAAGCTTTGCTTAAGAGTCACACGATGCTTTCTTACGCTATCGCTTGACTCGTGCGATTGTTGCGATGCCAGAAGTTGGATGCAGTGAGCTTTGCGATGCATTCAAACGCATTGCAATAGCCATGCTTTTACTATTGCGATTCAATGGTATTACTGTTCGCCAAGTACGTAGTCGCAAAGCATACAGTTATAGTCAGCTAAGAGTTCTCTTACCATTGCGCTGTGCAGTGGCACTAATCCTCATGTGAAAGATTTGCCTCACGTTCCTGTGCAACTCTGCGAGATGCGAACTAATTATACGCTCGCGAGAGATACGCCTGCGCGACGCGATGCGGAGGCCACGGCTGCAATTTTTATAAATTTTTATAAATCGTAATTTTCGATAAAAGCTCCTCTCGTCTCGTCCTGTATCTCTCGCTGGTCTCTCTTTCATTCGGCGTGCCATCGAGTGGGCTTCTTGTTTTCTCCAAGTCGGCTCCTTTTTCCGCCTTTTCAGATTGCACGAAGCTTTAATTTCTTCTCGAAGGTCCTTCGCTACTTTTCCCGATACCCGAGTCGAATCGAGTCGAATCGAGTCGAATCGAGTCGAGGCGGGTCGGCGGTGGCGGCGGCTTCGTTTCCGTTTCGACGAGGAAATAATAAAGGTCGATTCTCGACGGTGGAAATTAATGTCGTGCGCCTGGGGAATTTATTGTTATTAACTCGTGGCTATATCTATCTGCGTGAGGAAAAATTATGTGTGTTTTTTTTTTAATTTATTTAACAATGATGGAACGTAGAGAAAAGAGAATAGAAAAAAGAGAGGTTCTTTTCACAAGCAAATCTAATGTTAGTAGAATAATATAATAATTCTAATGTTGTTAATTGAGAAGATTTTTATTTAACATACGAGATTAACTTTTAATATTCCTTTCTCCGTTAAAATAATTCAATTCATATAAAACGGTATCATATATATTAGATATATATAACCATCGGCGATAAAGATAAAAGCTAGTCAGAGATAAATTCATCGTGTTTGAACGGATAAATTAAATTTTAACCAAAAAATTTGAATTATAGTTTTTATATATAACTAAGATATAATATTTTTGCTTTAATATTTTTGCACAACGATAATATTTCAATTTCCAACAGTATTACGAGGAAAAGTGCATGTACAAGAGAAATCAGAATCATAACGGGAAAATGTAAATAATGGCATACCGATAAATAGAGAGTTAAATAATTTGTGACGCGATATTTTAGCGGATATTAGCGATATGCGAAGCAAGCGCGTCTAAAAGCGCGACTAAAAAAAAGAAGGAGTAAATTAAAAGGAACGGCTTTTAAAATAAAAAAAAATTTTCCTAAGACTCCGCCGTCTTAAAACAAATAGACGAAAGGAAGACCTTTGAATATGTGATTAGTAAATTACTTTTTCGTTTTTCCTTGACACAGCTGTGGTGTTAATGCAATTAAATGACTTGCAAACTATGATATTTAGAAATCAATTAGAATTTATTTGTTTTCTATCGATTCTTGAGTTTGACATGAGAAACGATTACAAGAAAAATATGAAAAAGAGCTATTTATTTCTTGTCGGAACAAATTTTATTTATAATATAATATGATAAAAAGAGTATGTATATTATAATTAAAGGAATAATATAAAAGTGCAATATCCATTTTATATATTTTATATTGCTCCTTTAATGAATGAAAATATACACTTTACAGAGTAAAGTAAATTTTCATTCATATTTTACGCAATCATTAACGCAGGGGAAATCCCGGAAATACACGCGATCTCATAGCTTCTTATAGGTCAAAGTTCACCGTTAGCAGCTACAACGACTAATGGATGAAACTGCTGTACGTTTGGTATTATTGCGCCACCGCTGTTACTTTCCGTCGGGTGAACCTCCATTAGGTCCTTCTCTCGACGGCAAGCGAAATAATGAGTTAAAGTAGTACGAGACGAGAGACACGCCTCATTTCCATTTCCTTTGGGGCTCTGCGCGCGTTCGGGCGACCCGAGAATTATTTACCGTCTCATCTCTGGCGGCAGCGGCGGCCAATTATTATCGCGCGACGGTGATAACGTCCGTCGAAATTTTCCGCACTCTTGGTGATATTGCGAGATGCCACGACGTTCCCCCTCCTTCTCCCTCCTCCTCCCTCCTCCTCTTCCCGCTCTCTCGCGGTAACTATCCTGTAACTTTCTGCATTATAGCCGTGTTAACGAAACAATTGCCATCATAGCGTTGGTGCAGTCTCAGGTAGCCGGTCGCTTCCTCTCCAGATTTCTCAGCGAGTATAGAGATGATCTTTCATTAAAAGTTGTTGGAAATTTGCGATTTTGCGCTATATTTTTAATTCAATTATAAATTTGACCAGCGGGAAAGCTAAAAAAATTTTAAAACAGATTTCCTCGCGCAATCTCGCTCACCGACCTATCTCTCTCTCTCTCTCTCTCTCTCTCTCGCTATCGAAAATTACGGATATCTGTTATTATGAAACCGTCCGTAACATTCAACGTCGCGCCGCAAAATTCATTTCATTTCGTCTCGTCGATCGTATCTTGGTAGTAGTATCCTTTGAGAATTAACGCGATCTGGACGGATATTTTTATGAGAAACCGTATCGAAATCATCTATAGCTCGTGTCCTCTGACATTTTTATACCGCGGTTATAATTATCTTCTACGCGTAGAAGATAATAAAGTATATAGCGATAGACGAAACGGATAAAATAATTATTTTAATATTTTATCTAATTCTATTATACATTTGCCAGAATATATAATATTGTAAGATAATTGCGAGCATTTCTCTGTCTCGGCAAAATGACATCGGTTGTTCTAGTTCCAAAGATGTGCGCGCCCTCGATGTATTATATAGATTATATAGATTAATTATATAACACGCTATATAATTACCGCTTGCTAATGAAGTTATCGATCGGACTGTACGTTTAGTTAGAAAGGTCGAACTATAATAATTCTTACAAGCGCACGATCCGCTTAATTATTTATCGAGAGGCGCAATTAATCTTAAAGAGAATTTTTTTTTTTTCTTGCAGAAAAATATCTGTGCTACTTTCGAAGAAGGACGAGATGCTCTTATTCGAAATAGATTAGTTCTGAAACGGAGGGAGCATGTGTGGGACCGTGTAGTAGCGGAAATCAGAAACAGCACTCAATTCGCAATCAATTGACTCAGGTAAGACTGCTCATCTCCTTCAACATCTCCCATACACGTATCTAATCCCTGAAACGAATCGAGCGCGCGATAGAAAAGCGCGCACAAAGTTCGAATTCTCGTTCAACGTCGATTTAGCAAATTAACCAAATTAATTAAAGAATGATCGGTCGATGATAAAATCGACCGATTGAAGATTAAATTGCAAATAATATTTTTTGCGTCTCGAGTAATATTTTTGAAAATTATATTTCACACACGAGTATCGTTCTTTTTCAACTCGCGCTCGATAGATTTAGCGAGAAAATATATAAGATATTCGTCGATGGATCGATCCTTGCGAAAATTCGCGTGTTCTCCGGTGCGATACGCGCGCTCGATTACATCTCGACGACGATCGAGTCGATCGGCGCGATCGGCTTTATGTTTCTCGAGAGATATTTTTCTCGGCGGGATACGCGCATGTCGAAGTTACCCCGAAAATAAAGCCTCGGTCGCACGAAGCTGCCGTTCGTGGCTCGGGCTACGACGTAAAGGAAGTTGCTCAACGACCGTTGCCTTTACTGTTTATACGATCCCCAATCCAATCTCCAGTCTGAAGATCTTTGAGAGAACGAGTCAACTTTTGGAGGAGTGTCACGATTCCCGGGCTGCCTCCTCCGATACTCGAGAACGAAATTACGATAACGAGGGATTTCGTAGCACGTTACACGATCCTACGCCTTTTCTCTTTCTCTCTTTTTCTCTCTAACGCTCTCTATTCATCCTTCGTCTTTTGCCATGAGATTCTTAAATTCCTCGTAGTGTGCTAACTTTCGGAAGTTTCCGCGAAATCTGGGAAAGAAAGAGAGAGAGAAACAAGGGAGGAGAGACGGAATTGACGATAGTAATTGTGAGGATCTAGTCGGCCTTTTGCTGTTGACGAAATTGGAGAAATATATAGCAACTGCAACAACATCAACAGCGATACTAGTAAGGAGCGGAGAGCGCAGTAATCGTTGAGATCGGTACGATTATTGTTTCCAGCATAGTTTCCGCGCCGCAGTCTTTACTCGCTCGCTCCTTCTCTCCCTCTCCTTTGCTCGCTCACTCGGTCGTGACACAATTGGCGGAACACACGGCAGTTTCACGTGTGTAAGGCACCTACCAGCTACAGGCCGGTGGTGCGCGGCGCCACTTGTTGCAAAAATGATAATGAAGTAATAACGGAAGAAATCGCTTACGCGATCGTTGCGGATTTTCCGCTCTTCCGCTTTTACAGCGATACCCGTTGCGCGAGTAAACGACTAAATCGTTAGGCGGAAATTGCAAAAGTGGCCGAATTTATGGAATCGACCGCGTCCTGCGTTTAAAGAGCCGGTAATGGAGGAGGAAAATGACGGATGTACATGGCGAGTGGCCGCGAACTTTTCTATTTTTCTCGCCTCCTCTTTCGCGTTTGCATTTGCGCACATGTAAGTTTACGTCAACAACAATCCAAAACCTTTTCCGGCGAGCGGGACGAGCGTCGATGCGAGAGTCGATGCCCCAATAGCCAATATAAAATATATCTCGCGCGTTACCTTTTCTTAAAAGCCATATAAAATACAAGTAATAATAATGGACGAGGAAAATATTCGATAAAGTCGAAAATTTTACGCACGACAACTTTCGGAAAGTTTTTATCCTTTTGAATATCTTATCCTTTTCGTTCCACTTATATCGCTTGTACATACACCAGGGGAAAGTTCTTAATTCGCGAGAAATTGCTGCGTGATCGTCCGCGTATTCTCCGGCTTTGTCGGGAGGTGAGGTTTTCATCGCGATGTTATTCTTTGTCGACGGAATATCCTGAGAGAGAGAAGACACGCTGAAATGTCTGTCCGCGCGCGCGCGCGGACGCACAACGCAAGAAAATTATTCGCGTTAAATCGCAAGCGTACTTTAATCTATACTTTAATCCCTTAAGTCCCGTATTAAGTTGCACACGCGGAACGGTTACACGAGCGCAAAGTTTCTACGGGCCCGCGAGGCTAACGCAACTTGGACAGCGACCAAGATTTGTGCGTCCTGGGAGAGATCATTATTATCGATCTTCGATGTCGAGATTAGTTTACGAAGTTCCGTTCGGAGAGATTTGCCGTTAAAAGCGAGGGCTTCGACGCGCTCGTCGTCGTCGTCGTCGTCGCTTGGAGCGTCCGCAATAATGCGCTCCGCCGGTTGAGCTAAATCCACGTCAATCAATTGAGAAATTAATGCAAATTTTTTGAGCCTCTCGAGAATCGATATAATAATCGAGCCCTCTCGAGTAGAGACTAAATTAGTAAAATCGATAAAAATCAATCGGCTGACGTTCGTCGGTTGCATATGACGTTTATTGGGACAAATATACATGTGTTATCGGGAAAAAAAAGAAAATCCGAGATATTGTAGATAAATGTCTCTCTAGCGAAACTTTTACGGTATTTCTGCGGATAATGCTATTTTTCGTGAGAATGTATTTTACAGCGCCGAGCTAATCTCGCATAAGCGAATATGACTGACACACACGAGCGGCGAAAAATTATGAAATAATGTCGGTGAATTCTCTCCCCTTTTCACGTGAGCGACAGAAAAGTTATAATACCTTAAAAAAGTCGTAATTGCGCGAAATGCGGTGTTCCCCGGCGAATGTTCCCGACGCGTGAAATCGCGTGAAAAATAGGATCCCCGCCGGAAAGATAAAGGGAAATGTTTCGCGAGCGATTTGAATATATAAATCACGCTTCGCTAGACTTAGTCTTCGCGGAAGAAAGTCAATAGACACGTCGTCGGCGAGTTTTCCTCGAGTTGGGCGTTTCACCGCTATCATTCGGTCCCCGGCGCGCTATCGGCGTGTATCACCTCGACCGTGAAACTGTTCCGATAAGCTTCTTTAGCATATAATATCCTAGGCGCGTTCCGCCGTCGAAGAGATAGGACATCTTGAGAAGACAATTTTGATAGTGCCCCGGGCGACGATTTGATAATAATCTGCCATCGACCATTACTCCATTACATCACGTAGCGTTACGTTAGCTGGTACTTGGCAAAGTTAGATTGTTAAGCGCGTTCGAGAAATTGAATTGCTCGGAGGGGCGGAAGGAGGGGGGGGGCCGGGCGGGCAGGAAAACAGGATAGGTCCGCGCGCATCGGGCAAAAATATAAATACGCGGATAAAGATCTTAATCCGTTGATGAGATATCACATAAATGTCCGACGGACACACATGCTAAAAATGATAAACGTCACGGTCGGGAATGAACGGAATGAATATCATGCAATTTTGTAGTTATGTTTGACTTTAATTCCTACATACGAGGCTGCTCCTCGTATAATCTGTATTTATTATTTCATTTATTCGCGCTAATAGTGCGATAGCATTTTTTTTAATGCATCGTAAAGTACGATCCTCGTCAAGTATTCCTCCCTCATGCGCGTCGTTTATCGATGTTGATAATTCGTTAATATTCGACGATATTGGGTCAAGTAATTGATAATCTCGCGTGGTTAATTAATTTTAATATTTAATTTTAATGAATGAATGAGTATACGAGTTTTGTCCGAAAAATTTCATTGCGGAATTAATAAAAAGGATGAAATAATTTAATTACAATTCCAGTTATATATATATATATATATATATATATATATATATATATATTTATATTACGAATATTACGAGAACGTGTACACTGCGTAACACTAATTCTAATAATGTTATCGATTCTGTCTATGACGCGAGAATGGAGAGCGATTAAATTCATGCATTGGAGCACTCAATGCCGATACTCGGCAGGGAATAGCGGGTGCCGCAATGTTTGAGAACTGCTGTATCGGGCGACACATTGCGTTATCTAAAATGTATTATACTATCGGTTTATCGATCAAATCGGAACGACGGAAACAGCGCGAAACGCGCCGACCGGCTCTCCTTCTCCCTTTATCTCGTATTCGTAATCGTACGTGTCCTTAAAAGACTCCCTCGATGGCGGCGCATCCTTTCGCTATCGCGCAGGCACGACAGTTCGGAAGATTTCACCAAGATACAGGAGGTAACGTGTGCGAGCTTAATTTTACGAGCGAGGAGAGTGGAAGCGTCTCTGAAATCTCGACCGTGGCCGATCGATATCTGAGAAAGAGAGAGAGAAGGGGGGAAAGAAAGAAAGATCCGTGTCGAGTCTCCTTTTGCTTGAAAAAAAAAAAAAAAAAAAAAAAAAAAAAAAAAAATCGGAGTACTTTCCTTTGGAGAAAGGGCTTGCGAAATCGGTAAACGACTTTGCTCGTGTCGTGGATATCGTCGCCAGAAAATTGTCCATACGTTTAAAGTAACGCGTGTAAGCTGCGGCTTTAAACGCTTATCGCGATTAACACTTAGTCCGGAACAATTTAAACTGCTGCTATTCTCTCTCGTGTGTATGTGTGTGTGGGCGTGGGACATATTTTTGCAAGGTATGTTGGGGAAAGGAGACTTTCGGTACTGCGAGATAGAAACGAAAATTTCACCAATTATGTGTAATTGAACCGTGTAAGGTGTACATTTACGATGAGAAAAAAGAAAAATGGTTATTCATTAAATCAGATGTAACAGTACTAATGTACAATAATGTAATAGAGGCAAAAAGAGGCATGGAATTGTGATTTAACAAAGGAAATGAAAAATGTCTCCACGTCCGAACGTTCATCAGAATGACCGCAAACTCTGCAAAGAGATTTAATAACCGAAAACTCTAATTATAAGAGCGAAAGAATTAAAAATATCTCTTTTTTTCTCTCAATGCATCGATTTCTTTTGCCTCTCGTACGTCATTAATTCCGCCCCAGCAAAGCAGCAAGTAATTAGTGCTCGTTAAATCGCACCGCGCGATCCCTTACATGCTACTTTACGCGTAGCGTATAGGAGCGATGGAGCGGCGGTTTTAAGTATTCACCGACGAAACCGTGCGATATGCTAGCGAGAGGAGATGCGGGCGAGAGTGGAGAGGGGTTCGCGACTAACGACCCTCGTCAAGTAATTGGGGTAC